TGTGGTGGAAGGATGCTGTGAATCTGTAATGGGACAGGAGTGAGAGGCAGCTATATACAGTTGGTATAGAAAATAATCAAACCCCTTTATAATAATCACATTTTGATTTGCAGCCTGAAATGAAGACGGACACAGTTTTTGTTTTATCCAGCTGTATTTACTCCGTGAATCTAATAGCATCCAAGTGAAAGATATAACACCAACATGTCAGGAAATAAAACAAAAATAAAAAAACAGAATCACTGAGTTGGAAAAAGGATTACCCCCTTGTGTCAGTATTTTGTAGAACAACCTTTTGCTTTAATTACAGCCTTTAGTTTGTTGGGATATGTCTCCACTAACTTTGCACATCTAGACTTTGCAATATTTGCTAACTCTTCTTTGCAGAACTGCTTAAGTTTAGTTAATTTGCAGTTATTTCACAGATTTTCAACAAAATGTGATTATTTTAAAGGGGTTCTTTATAAAAACTGTGTTTGTGTGTGTGTGTGTGGTAGTTAGTGTATGTGTGTGTGTGTGTGTGTGTGTGTGTGTGTGTTGTCGTCACCCGTCGCTCTGACAGATGAAAGGCTGCAGGACTGTGAACTCTCTCTGAGATCTCCATCGCCTGCGTTTCTCTGTTTGCATCGAGCTGATGTTGAAGATCAGGCCTGCAGAGATCAGAATGTATTATCACTTCATTATAATCCAAGAGTTTTGCTTTTGATTTTATAATGCGCTGGTGAATTGTTCAGGAAAGGATCAGGCATTAAGAAAGTGCACAGAGTTGATTGGATGAGGCTAGTTTCTGTCTCAGCGCTCTGAGCATCAGTTTGTTTCTCCTCTCACTTCCTCTCTGACCGTTTCACTGGACTCACAGAGCTTACAGTTTTTCTGCAGTATTCTTATTTGATTTTGTTGATTTTTAAGTGCTCATGCACTCGACAGCATGTCAAGTTTTATTTAATAATTTATTAACTTGAAAATTCTTCTCAAGATGTCAAGGTATGTGTGGGTGTGGGTGTGAGTGTAGGTGTGAGTGTAAGTCGCGCAGTCAGGGACAAGTGTGCTAATGGATTTAAGAAATGTTGAAGAAAGTCCACTAAACGCATGTGTTTTCATGCTAAATCATTACTGTCACTCTTAAACACTCTTGTTTGCGTGGCATATTTGTTGGTTATGGAGCGCCGTCGGTGCCAGCAGGGACTTCCCGTGGAGCGGAGGGCGGTGGTTTGTTGGTTTTGTGGCCAAAGGCAGGTGGAGGATAACGAGAGCGGTGTCCTCTTACACTCCTGCGCTCGTTTGGGTGGATTCCTTTGTCCTCTCGCTTACAGACAGGTGCTGATCCTATACAACGCTCGGCTGTGACACAGTGTTCTGTTTGACTTCATTCTGTGCTTTTAGCTTCTGTTTTTGGAGTTAAGCTCATGCAGATTCAGATTTGAATATGCAAACGGAGCCAAACGACTTCCCAGGTGTTTCTAAAACCTGTTTTGGATTATGCTGTCTTGTTTTATTAGTAGTGTTACTTTACACTAGTGATCAGACGCACTATTTTTACCTGCTGGACCAGAAAACAGGTGGAAAATCCCACAGACCTGACCTGGAACAGCATCATTTCAATATATTGAATATTCATGATATAGGCTACTTTTGATGATTGCTCTGATGATAAAAGAATATCACAATTTTAATATGCATTTTATTTTATAAGGTAAATAGGTAAGACTTTATTTAGGGAAATTTACATATATAAACATACACACATCATAATAAAGAAAATAAATGCCCTGGCTGTAATATAATATATTGTGTGTGTA